TCATCTTGCCCCAAGTCATCGATCTACCAGACTTTGATGACTCCATCGTAAGCTAGTGCGGCTACTATAGGCGGGTTAATGGGACACGCGAACTATATCTAACATACATATATTGTACACTAGTGACATATATTACCTTCTTCAATGACATCATCAGTCTCATCTTGCCCCAAGTCATCGATGTACCACACTTTGATGACTCCATCGTAAGCTAGTGCGGCCACTATAGGCGGGTTATTGGGACACGCACACTATATCTAATGTTACATTATATTATACACCAGTAATGTTACCTTCTTCAATGACATCGTCGGTCTCATCTTGCCCCAAGTCATCGATGTACCACACTTTGATGACCCCATCATAAGCTAGTGCGGCCACTAAAGGCGGGTTTACAAGACACACTCACTATGTCTAACATTACATATATTATACACTATATATTACCTTCTTCAATAACATCATCGGTCTCATCCTGCCCCAAGTCATCTATGTACCAAACTTTGATGACCCCATCGTAAGCTAGTGCGGCTACTATAGGCGGGTTTATAGGACACGCGCACTATATCTAACGTTACATATATTATATACATGATATATATTACCTTCTTCAATGATATCGTCGGTTTCATCCTGCCCCAAGTCATCGATGTACCACACTTTGATGACCCCATCGTAAGCTAGTGCGGCTACTATAGGCGGGTTGATGGGACACGCGCACTATATCTTACATTACATATATTATACACTAGTGACATATATTACCTTCTTCAATAACGTCATCAGTCTCATCCTGCCCCAAGTCATCGATGTACCACACTTTGATGACTCCATCGTAAGCTAGTGCGGCTACTATAGGCGGGTTGATGGGACACGCGCACTATATCTAGCATTACATTATATTATACACTAGTGACATATATTACCTTCTTCAATAACGTCATCAGTCTCACCCTGCCCTAAATCATCGATGTACCACACTTTGATGACCCCATCGTAAGCTAGTGCGGCTACTATAGGCGGGTTGATAGGACACGCTCAGTATATCTAACGTTACATATATTATATTATACACTATATATTACCTTCTTCAATGACATCGTCGGTCTCATCCTGCCCCAAGTCATCGATGTACCACACTTTGATAACTCCATCATAAGCTATAGCGGCTACTATAGGCGGGTTTATATCTAACATACATAATATACACTAGTGACATATATTACCTTCTTCAATCACATCGTCCGTCTCGTCTTGCGCCAAATCATCGATGTACCACACTTTGATGACTCCATCGTAAGCTAGTGCGGCTACTATAGGCGGGTTGATAGGACACGCGCACTATATCTAACATTACATATATTATTATAGTAATGACATATATTACCTTCTTCAATGACATCGTCGGTCTCATCCTGCCCCAAGTCATCGATGTACCACACTTTGATGACTCCGTCGTAAGCTAGTGCGGCTACTATAGGCGGGTTGATAGGACACGCGCACTATATCTAACATTACATATATTATTATAGTAATGACATATATTACCTTCTTCAATGACATCGTCGGTCTCATCCTGCCCCAAGTCATCGATGTACCACACTTTGATGACTCCGTCGTAAGCTAGTGCGGCTACTATAGGCGGGTTGATAGGACACGCGCACTATATCTAACATTACATATATTATTATAGTAATGACATATATTACCTTCTTCAATGACATCGTCGGTCTCATCCTGCCCCAAGTCATCGATGTACCACACTTTGATGACTCCGTCGTAAGCTAGTGCGGCTACTATAGGCGGGTTGATAGGACACGCGCACTATATCTAACATTACATATATTATTATAGTAATGACATATATTACCTTCTTCAATGACATCGTCGGTCTCATCCTGCCCCAAGTCATCGATGTACCACACTTTGATGACTCCGTCGTAAGCTAGTGCGGCTACTATAGGCGGGTTGATAGGACACGCGCACTATATCTAACATTACATATATTATTATAGTAATGACATATATTACCTTCTTCAATGACATCGTCGGTCTCATCCTGCCCCAAGTCATCGATGTACCACACTTTGATGACTCCGTCGTAAGCTAGTGCGGCTACTATAGGCGGGTTGATGGGGCACGCGCACACCCATTTGATGGCGGATCCGGTGCCGGGTAATTCCTTCTTTAGCTTGTTTGTTGATATGTGGAAGAACTGAAAATATAGAATATAAAATATTGTACAGATAGCAGAATATTGGAAATATCATGGTAACTAACATACAAACATGCAATGGTATACTTATGATAGAAAACCTAATTATTTTATGTGTAGAAAACTGAATCAATCCTTTTAAAAAAGCTTAATTATTTTTATGTGTAGAAAAATGAATGAGTCTAATTGGAATTAGGAAAATTAAAGAATTTGTTAGCGTCGGCCGAAGCTTGAACCAAGGACCGCACGAACGGATGTTTACCTTTATCATCCCCTGCATGGTGCCCACCAGGGCGTAGTCTCCGAGGAACCCAACTGAGGTGATGGTTTCCTTCACGTCGATGTTGGACGGCGTTAGTTCTTCTACATTCTGTTGATGGCTGGAAACAACATTATGAAAAATTTAAATATTTCAAGGGGTGAACCAGCCCGTGATTTATTTATTTTTTCAAATGAACATGAGTTTGGCCGTGTGGTGCTGGATTAGAATAGCATCACCCCATATATTTCCCGTGGGTGTCGTAAGAAGCGACTTAGGGATTTGAGAGTAGATAATATGTATCGCTATTTTAGTCGACATGCTGACACCCTATCACTATGATGATACACAGTTTCTTCACTTTCTCATGTTTTATCCCTAGGATTAATTGGCCATTTTTAAAGCTGTTTATCTACACTCAGTTCGTAATATTCGTTTTACAGAATCGAAAGTACGAACGTAATGAACTGCATTACGAATATACAGTCTTTAAAAAAAAACTTTCATACTACTGGCAGCTACATAAAGTAACTCGATTTCTAGTGTTTGAAAAAAAATTAAATGTCTTCAGTTGATTTGGGCCCGTTTCCTGGCTATTGCGGTACCAGTCTACGTTCCTTTAACCTTCTTATGATTGTAGAGCCACTTTTAGCCACCTTTTGTACATTTGATAGCTTTTGCCGCAGTTGAAAAGCGCTAAGGCGTCGATTTTGCAAAGAACTCATAACATTAATTCGATCATGTCGGTCAGAACTGACCTGATTTCCGACAGATTCTGAACGTCGCGTAAACAGACCTTTCTTCTGATAGCGTTTGTAAGCTTTATGAACAGAGGTAAGGCTTAAATGCAAACATTCAGCCACAAAACGATGACCAAGTCCAAAATTTGGCAATGTCACCACTTGGGCGGCTTCTACGGGCAAAATACCCATGATTCAGATAAAAACTAACTTTTTTCAGGCGATCCAAAGTCACAGTAAACAATTAAAAAACAAAAGTCTTAAGATAAGATAAGACAAGCTCTAAATTTTAATGTTGAAAATGTTATGAATCGTTAAAAGGCGCAAACTGCAAACGTGTCTCAGTCATTCATCTCATTTACAGAACAAACAGGTGGGGTTCCAATTTAGAATTTTGATTTTTTTTATTCACACTGAAAAGACGAAACTGCCAGCTACACAGTCATATATATTTTTTAATGCAAACCATACTTTTTGGTGTTTAATTCTGCCAAAAACAAGAAAAACCGAGGTGTTTCGATTTTTGTGATGGGAAGTGTATTTGAAAAAAAACTAAACGAATTGACCCGCGTACCAAATTGTAATCTGTTCCAATTTGACACTGGCCATCAGTAAGTCGAATGAAAAAAAAAAAACAAGTGTCACCCGCGTCGGGACGACACTTGAAATTATGAGGACTTATTTATTATTAAATCTTTGCTTCAAATCATTTTTCAAATTAAAATTAACCGATAAATGCTATTTAATTTTAAAAGTTGTTCAGTTTTTATGAGCCTCCATTTTAACGTTTAGTTAAAAAGTTACTTATGTATAAAAGTCGTTCAGTTGGTGGTTCAGTAGATAGGCTTGCAATCGCCATAGTGCAGTGCGGAGGACTTCAGGCGATCCAAAGTCACAGTAAACAATTAAAAAAGCAAAAGTCTTAAGATAAGATAAGACAAGCTCTAAATTTTAATGTTGAAAATGTTATGAATCGTTAAAAGGCGCAAACTGCAAACGTGTCTCAGTCATTCATCTCATTTACAGAACAAACAGGTGGGGTTCCAAATTCGAATTTTGATTTTTTTTATTCACACTGAAAAGACGAAACTGCCAGCTACACAGTCATATAATTTTTTTAATGCAAACAATACTTTTTGGTGTTTAATTCTGCCAAAAACAAGAAAAACCGAGGTGTTTCGATTTTTGTGATGGGAAGTGTACTAGAAATCGAGTTACTTTATGTAGCTGCCAGTAGTATGAAAGTTTTTTTTAAAGGCTGTATATTCGTAATGCAGTTCATTACGTTCGTACTTTCGATTCTGTAAAACGAATATTACGAACTGAGTGTAGATAAACTACTATTACGCACTGCCTACACCGCGACGAATATAGGTCTGAATACGGGTCGAAATATGCCAAATAATAATATTCCTTCTATAATGGAAAAAATATTCAAAACAGAATTCGCGAACAATATCTCAATACTTACAGAAACTCAAAATACAGCTCATTTTTCTCACACTGTTCGGTGGCTATCTCCAGCGCCTTTGTATACAGATTGCCTTTGACCTCGTGTTGCAGAATGCTCTGTACTATATCCGTGCAGGGGTAGCGGTAGAGGTCGCTACCGTGAGAGCTCAGGTAGGTCTTCATGCTGTACAGGAATTCACGGTCGAAGTCCTGAAAAAGACATAGACACATAAGAAATTAATTACAATTATTTGTAAAACTATTTCGGTAGATAGAAGAACTATCTTAATTATTGGCCAAGATACCCTTGCACTATCACGCAGGCTATGATTGAGCCGCGGTAGCCCATTTGGTAGAGGCGTCTGCAGTACTGATGACGAAAGTCGCAGGTTCAAATCCTGCACGCGGTGAAAATTTTGCATATTTCCAAAACGAATCATTTTGTTAAACGGTAACGTACGAGCACAGAATAGACAATAGTATGTATGTAGTATAGTACTACATACAGAACGGACACTCTCCCCCCCGCACCCGCGCCGCTTACCCGCCCCCGCCCGCGAAATGTCAAAAAATTAGTGAAGACTTAAGTGAACCAAAGTGCTAGGTATGGTGCTGGACTTGTTGCATGTTCGTTTCATCCAAGAAGGTTTCATCGTGGTTTCTTGTAGATATTAGACTGAAACGAAGGAGGTGGTGTCGGCCATATTCATGTCCATAAAAAAAGGCGCGAACATTTGAACTGAGTTCGCCTTAGATTCGCGGACGGATAAAAGTATTTCTTAATAAAATTGTTGGATAAAATAAAAAAATGGTGCGATATTGTGCCGTGTACGGCTGTATGTCCACAAACAGAGACCCAGACAGGAGATTTTTTCGTTTTTCGCGGGAAGAAAAGAGGCAAGAACCTACCTAGCTAAGAAGTAATCGGTTCGTATTGTTAACTACTTTCGACTCACATTTAATCGTAATAGACCTAAACAATGTTAAATTAGCAGCAACTAGTCGGTACATTATTTTATTTATTACATACTCTTTGGTAGGTACTGTACGTACGTAGTCATTAGTTGTATCAAAATTAACCCGAATGTCAACCCTGCACTCACACGCCTGTCGCCACGCACACAAACATAAGTAAAAATGACAGTTGTCTATAACGAGCCCGTTGTATGGAAGTGTCCGAGGTGTGGTACGGGTCAAACTCTTTGGAGAGGCTAGGTTTCGGTAAATATTCGTCCAAAAACAATCGATTTATACGGTCACCTATGAACGGGACGGAAAACTCTGTTCCTCTAAATTTTTTACTGACACTCGACAAAAATTTCGTTCATAGTGAGATATTTGAAATTCGAATCACTTTGCCTCACCGGGTAGAGTGAGCAAAAGTTACTTTTGCATTATGATTTTACGCGGCAAACCTGTTATTTTCAAACTGGTAAGATGAAAAGAATCAACTGACATCGTCAGCGATATAATTCTCATACTTTGACCCATGTTCCATGGGGAAAGTTGTTCAGTTTCATGATCACCTTTCGGCTTTATTTGTTGTTATGTAACACGTTGTGTATACTCTAAGGTGTACTTACATCGTCAGCGATATAGTTCTCATACTTGTGCAGATCATCGATGACATCGGCAGGCCCAGTCAGACGCACTTTGTTGCCGAGAAACTTCAGGTCCAGGAACAATTTGTTGAACAATCGCCATTTTTGGTTCAAATTTCGAGTGTTCAGTATGTGGTAGCCGATGTAGAATGCTATGTACCTGAAATATAAATAAAATGAGTGAGATTAGGAGTTGAAAAGAGACAAGTTATACATAAATTATACAAGTAAGGAACGGTATGATATAATGTTCGCGTTTTGAATCAAAAATCACCAAAATCATATGATTAATCATTTTGTAAAACAACTACTATTAGAAGCTGAAATCATCACTTAGAGACGAAGAACAAGTCGAAGAAGAAGAAGAAAAGAAGAAATTCGTGAGAGTCGGCTAGGCGCCGGTAGATTAGTTGGCAGAGTAGTGGGACGGTATCCTACAGTCCCGGGTTCAAGCCCCGGTCGACGCCAACAGTTCTTCAATTTCATTTTCATTTATAAAAATATCACTCTGTAGATGAAACTCACCCGTCATCAACAATATCCACTGGAGCCTTCGTAACACTATCATAGTTGTAGCTCTTCAAGAACTCTCCATGTAATTTCTTCATGTCTTCCTCACTCGTACACGTCCTTAGATAATTCATTATAAGGTCGTGTATCTCATAGATATAGTTCCTTTGCTCATGGTCATAAAACTCTATGATAAGCGATTTGCTTCTAAGCTGCTTCATAATAGATTCAACCTCGTTCACTTCTTTATTCCATAGTTTGCTTAGAACTTTGGCGGAAACTTTCGCATTGTCGGGTAAAACGGACAGCATTTTGAAAAGGGTTAGGATGTTGGATTTTAAAGAGTTGATGCAAACTTCGATGGTTTTCATTGGGTTGTTGTTGTTTCGTGTTAGGCTGTAAAGTGTTGCAAGTTAGTACAGAATGTTCTAAGGGTTCAAAGTTGTACTTTAAAATCTAAAAGAAAATAGGACTAAGCAAAAATGAAAGTTGTTCAGTGTCATGAGTACCTCGACCTCTTTTCGGCTTGTTGTCCCTCTCTGTTACTCCCGGTATACGTTTTTTTACGTTCTAGTAATTTGTAAATAAAACTAATTCGAAATAAGTATAGAGCTTATTTCTAAAGGGAATAGTAAAAATAATTCTGCATAGCCTAGCCAATATGGCAGTCCCGATCGCGACCAATAAGACTTCTTCTATACTTTTTCGGGCAATGACAAATATTTTGCTGGTCACTTTTTCAGTCCAAAACGTAGCTTATTTTATGTAAGACACTTACAAGAAGAACTCCTTTTTCTCTAGCCGATTCAAATAATAGTTCCACGCCCTGGGATCGTCAGTCAACCTCTCCTTATTCTCAGCTAGTTGGGCACCTAGTAGAGTGATATGGAAAGGGCTTCCTTTGCATATTTCGTGGAGTTTCTTAGCCTGCCTCGGTAGCTTGTTGACATTCACGTCGAGACAAGACGCGAAGAACTCCAGAGTTTCGCGTTCGGTGAAGTTGTTTTCTATCTGAAATGGAGCAAGATAAAGTTTAATTTAAATTGTGTACTGTAAAGTAACGAAAGAACAATTTACTTTGATAAACTGGTTCAAAACAAAGTTATGAGTGAAAAGAATCTTCAGGTGATACAAGCCTACTTTTTCTTGGTGTAATATAATGAAATTGAACAAGGCGAACTGGCTATTCATCATTATTACAACAACCTATGTAGCAGTCCACTGCTGGACTATAGGCCTTCCTGAGGGTACGCCACAAGGCAAGATTTGCCATAGGATAGGCTATGGTTGATTATAATTTTGACAAAATGAAACGCATATTATTTCCATCCCCTATTTCGAATTCCTTTGCTGATGCGGGTTAAAATTCGCCACAACATCCGTATCACCCGTCGTAATAAGAATCTTGCACCCAATGTTTCACTTCATCCAGAACTAGAAGCGCTTCTAGAAGCGTCGCTTCTAAGACAGTCTTAAATAAAAAAGCTTATCGCACTTACTTTGATGATCTGCGGGTTAAAATTGGCCACAACATCCGTATCACCCGTTGTAATCAGAATCTTGCACTCAATATCAAAAGCCTCCACACATTTCTTCTGTTTCACATAATCCAGTACTAAAAGCCCTTCTGTAATCGTCGCTTTTGAGACAGTCTTAAATAGAAAAGGAAATTATACTTACTTTGATGATCTGCGGATTGAAATTCACCACGACGTCCGTATCACCCGTCGTAATCAGAATCTTACATCCTATATCAAACGCTTCTACATATTTCTTCTGTTTCACATTATCTAGTACTAGAAGCGCTTCTTTATGTGTTGCTTCTGAGGAGACGTCGGCTCAGAGAGTAAATAAAGAAGAAAAAAACTTACTTTGATGATCTGCGGGTTAAAATTCGCCACGACGTCCGTATCGCCCGTTGTAATCAGAATCTTGCGCCCAATATCGAAGGCCTCCACACATTTCTTCTGTTTCACATCTTCCAGTACTAAAAGCGCCTTTTTCAGCGTTGGTTCTGAGATAGTCGTAAGTAAAATTAAACTTATTGCACTTACTTTGATGATCTGCGGGTTGAAATTCGCCACGACGTCCGTATCGCCCGTTGTAATCAGAATCTATTGCACCCAATATCAAAAGCCTCCACACATTTCTTCTGTTTGACATCATCCAGCACTAGAAGCGCCTCTTTCAGCGTTGGTTCTGAGATAGTCGTAAGTAAATTAAACTTATTGCACTTACTTTGATGATCTGCGGGTTAAAATTCGCCACAACATCCGTATCGCCCGTTGTAATCAGAATCTTGCACCCAATATCAAAAGCTTCCACACATTTCTTCTGTTTCACATCATCCAGCACTAGAAGCGCCTCTTTCAGCGTTGGTTCTAAGACAGTCTTAATTAAAAAAGCTTATGGCACTTACTTTAATGATCTGCGGGTTAAAATTCGCCACGACATCCGTATCACCCGTCGTTATCAGAATCTTGCATCCTATATCAAACGCTTCTACACATTTCTTCTGTTTTACATCATCCAACACTAGAAGCGCCTCTTTCAGCGTTGGTTCTGAGAACTGTTTCTTGAGTTTATCCCTGAGTTCTTGCCACGTCCAGTCGTAGCTGGAGAGAGATTGCGTGTCGGCGTTTGAACCAATACTGGACATTGATATGGACGAGTTCATGTAGGAATTGTGCGTGTAGATTGATGTCGTTTTGCGGTACAGTCTGGAATCAAGAATGGTTCGTGTTAGTTTGATGATAAGGTATCTATTGTATATATAGTTACTTTAGCGTAGAAGTTTTAATTTAGTACTGCAAAAAGATAGTTAAAATAGGAATAATAAACTGTGGTCTAGAATGAACTGTAACATAAAGTCATGAAATATGCTCTTACTATACATAATTTTAGCACGCCTAACAAACAGAGTCGTCTATATGACACTGTATACAGTGCCTTTGAAGTTCTTATCTCTCTTCGGGAACAATTGTAATATTAAACCTAATTGTATGTTTGTTTATGTAAATCTGTTCCGACAAACGATTGCTTTATTTCGGCGTTTCGGATGATTGTTCTGGATATACCTTCAAATTACTATTCACCAAACAGCCTCGAGTGTTTACACGTCTCGAAACGAAAATAAAGACATTCGGCCTCACCACGCCTCAAACGTCGACCTTGATTTTCGACTGACAGTTGAGAGTCAATTACCACCATTACCAAGTAATTACCATACTTTACACCAGTATTTGGGCTTCTTTATCACGGAACTCAGAGTATCATATGCTTTGTAAAGCTGCTAGGGGCTTAAATATGTTATTTTCTATTCCAGAAAAATCAAATGCCATCATAAAAGATTGCTGATTAACGAAACTGAATCACTTTCCCTTAGGACCATGGGCCATATACCTACGGAAAAAAACTAGTCTCCCATAAAAACGTATTGTGTTGGCCGGGATTTTATATGATGAAGCCTTGATGAAGCATTTTTCTATATTTAAACCTACGTTTCTTGGGGAAGCTTGTTCAGTTTCATGACCTTGTTAACCCCTCAAAATATTTCCTAACTGTATTTCTATTTGTCACTAAGTTATATTTTAGCGAAATACGAAATGGCGGGAACCATTCTACTGACTCTCGCGAGTAGTCGCGAGATAAAACTGAGGTGGAGTTCAGCTAGCAGAATTCATGCCCAGTTAAAATATTGGGTGAAATTTTACTAGTGACCGACAGCGCAAACTCAATACCGGCTGGTGATAAGTAACAACTTTCTCTAAGGAACATTTGTCAAAATATGATAAAAAAAAATGGCCCCACAGTAACTCAGATGATTGGCAATATTGTATGAGAGGTCCAAATATTTTTCGACCTATGTTCCGTGGGGAAAGTTGTTCCTTATCAGTTATCACCAGCCGGTTCTGAGTTTTCTCTATCAATCACTAGTAAAATTTCAACCAGTATATGAATTACAGTATTCTCGGAAGTGATTTTAAAGCGAACGTCGTAATAATAATTTTCAACTCTTGAATTGAAACATTACAAGCTGTAATCATAATCAAATCTGGTTTTGGTCGGACATTACAGTTATGTTAATGTTCGCGTGTAAAAATGCGAGGATACTGAATAACGAGGAAATTAATCGAGGATTGAATGATTCAGGTTTGAAATTTGGGTCAAAAGAACCAATTTTACTTTTGTATTTGTACCTACTTTTGTTACTGCCTTACGTCTTATAATTTTTATTTAGGTACCAAGTACGGAACGCATGTTAAGTCTCTAGTACTTGAAGTGGCTACTTATTGGGCACAAAATCTATAAGCTGAGTTTTATTGCCATTGACTCGAAAAGAAGAAGAATTACTTTGAATAGCCTGTGGTTAGGCTCGTTTGTATCACGATCAGACAATCAAATGATAAGTATTATGCATTTAATGTGCCGACCTTGATAGCGTCATTCAGAGGTCAATTTTAACGATAAAACTAAATATGTATATCTTCCATGCATACAGATGACAGAAAACTACGTCACATGGTTGGACGTGATCCTACTAATATTATATATAATTATAAAGGCGTTTTTATAAAGGCGGATGTTTGTGTGTGTGTTTGTTACGACATCACGCAAAAACGGCTGATAAGATTGACATGAAACTTTGCAGAAATATAAAAGGGCATCTGGAATAACACATAGGATACTTTTTACCATGGAAAAATGTCTCATTCCCACGGGATCACGCATTTTCCAATATTTTTGAAATAGGTGGCGTGACTGAGCCGATTCGCGTTTTAAACGTTTTCGCCAAAAACTAACAGCGACATCTCTTGGCGAATAATGCTTTTTTTCCCGCGGAATAATAGGTTGCAGCGGGTGAAACCGCTGACGGGCAGCTAGTTGATTATAAAACTTTAAAGTAGGATAAAATACATATAATCGTTTAGTAAGATTAGTGTATCTAAGATTATGG